TAAAGTATTGATTTTAGCTCTTTCTTCTTTTTTGATGTGTGCATTTATTGCTATAAACTGCCCTCTGATCCCTGCTTTTGCTGTGTCCCAAAGATTTGGGTATTCTGTGTTTTCATTCTCATCTGACTCAAATGATTTTTTAATTTTACTCTTTTATTTCTTCTATTCTACCTCTTAAGGAGCATGTGGTTCAGTTTCCATGTGTCTGCCTGTTTTCCATTCATCTTCCTATTGTTGATTTCTAATTTGATAGCATTGTGATCTGAGAAGATGCTTTGCAGTATTTCAATGCTTTCAAATTTATTAAGGCTTGCTCTATGGCCTAATATATGGTCTATCATGGAGAATGTTCCATGAGGACTGGAAAAGAATGTATATTGTACTGTTGTTGGTGAAGTACTCTGTAGATGGCTATAACGTCAAGTTGGTGGATTATATTGTTTAGTTCTTCTGCATCTTTCCTGAGCTTCTTTCCAGTTGTTCTATCTTTCATTGACAGTCGTGCATTAAAGTCTCCCACTATGACTGTGGAGTCATCTATTTGTCTTTTCAATTCTGTTAAAGTCTGATTTATATATGTTGGGGCTCTTTCATTGGGTGCATAGATATTTATTATAGCTATATCTTCTTGTTCAATTGATCCTTTAATCATTATATAATGTCCTTTCTTATCTCTTATGGTGGTTTTTATCTTAAAGTATATTTGATCAGAAATTAATATTACCACTCCTGCTCTTTTTTGTTTGGTTGGCATTTGCTTGCTATATCTTTTTTCAACCTTTGATTTTAGTCTATTTTTGTCTTTTTCTCTAAGATGTGTCTCTTGTAGACAGCATATTGATGCATTATGTTTTCTTATCCAGTCTGCATCTCTCCATCTCTTGAGTGGTACATTTGATCCATTGACATTCAGTGTAATTATCAACAAGTATGAATTGGTTGCTGTCATTTTGTTGTGTGTTTTTTCATGGTGTTCCTGGTTTCTTTGTTCCATATAATTTTCTGTGCTCAGCTCATTTTGTTTATGAGTCAATCATGTTATCAATTCCTTTGTTGCTGTTGTTTTAGTATTTGCTAAATATTCATGCTTGCCCTCTTTTTTTATTGTGATGTGAAGGTTTATCATTTTTTTTTGAGGTTTCCCTGTGACTTATAATGTTCTCCGCAAGTTTAGAACAGTCCATTCTGTCCTGCAACTCTCTTGACTTCCTCACCATTTAGAAGTCCCGTAACTATTTTTTCCTCTTTCTGGTTTGTAGTCATCCTCATTTGCCAATTGTTGTCTCTGATTCCCTGTTTACAATCTTCTGAACTTATTTTACTTTGGATACCTCCATAACTGGGTTGGATTCTGGGTTATGTCATCATATGTATTAATGGTCAATTGTTGCTTGCTGTTATTGGTTCTCTATCCAAAGGACTCTCCTTAGTATCTCTTGTAAGGTTGGTCTGGTTTTAACAAATTCTCTTAATTTCTGCTCATCAGGTAATCTCCTAATCTCATCATTATATTTGAGGGAAAATTTTGCTGAGTATCTTGGTTGGAAATTTTTCTCTTTAAAGGTTTTATATATACCATCCCATTGCCTTCTTGGTTGCATGGTTTCTGCTGATAAATCAGAGTTTAGTCTTACTGATTGCCCTTCATAGGTAACTTTTCATTTTTCCCGTGCTTCTTTCAGAATCCTTTCTCTGTCTTTGGTTTCAGTGAGTTTGATTATGATATGTCTTGATGATTATCTCTTGGGGTCTATCCTGTTTGGGGTTCATTGGACTTCCTGAATGGATATATTCTCATCTTTCATCATACCAGAGAAGTTCTCTTCTAACAAATCTTGGACAATTTTCTCAGTGGTTTTCTTTTTCTCTTCTTGTTCTGGATTTTCTATTACACGTAGGTTATTCCTTTTGATGGTATCCCACTTGAATCTTAGGCTTTCTTCATTTTGTTTTGATCTTTTTTCTGACTGATCCCTTTCCAAAGAAGTACTCAGGTATTTGTCTTCAGTCTCATTAACTCTGTCTTCCATTGCATCAATTCTACTCCTTTTCCCTTTCAATGTGTTATCTATCTCTGAAAATTTAATATTTATCTTCTGGATTTCTATCTGTAGATTTTGTATCATTTCCAATTTTTCATTTATTTTGCCATTTTCTTCTTGTATTTTCTTCCAAGAATGTTGCAGGATTTTTTTCAGTACTTTCCTTGATCTGTCTCTCAATCCTTTGAAGGTACCTAAATATAATTCTTTTGAATTTCTTATCAGGGAATTCCAATGCTGCTTCTTCCTCAGGGATGTGTTCCATGTCTATATCTTGCTCCCTTGTTTTTACTGCTTCATCTTGCTTCTTTGTGTGGACTGTGATGGTCTGTTATCTCCAAGATATTGTGACTTTGTTGTATTTATATTTAATTGTTGTATGGTGGAGTAATTAGCCCAAGATTTTTGTTTTCTTTGTTATTTGGGATGTACCTGAGTAAGCAGGGTACTGTGCTCTTCTATTCACTAGCTGGCAGCACGTATGCACTTACCACCTGTCTCCTGGTGAGTGACAGAGAATGGGAGTGGCTGCACAGATCTCTGTTAACTGTTTGTGAAGAACAGTTAAGGGTGAATTAGGCTCTTATTGGTTGTCATATATCCTTGGCCAGTTGGTGCAGAAGGAAGTGGTCACCCTCACTTAGTAAGTGGAGCTGCAGGGTACAGGTGTGATTGGGTTGTATGGGCACAGTTGCTGTCTCCCACTCAACCAAATACAATAATCAAACAACATCAAAAAAAGTAAAAGCAAGAGGATAGAAAAGCATACACCACATAAACACACAGGAGCAATCAAAAAGAGGGAAGAAGAAGAAAGGCAATAACTGAGAGAAAATATTTAAAGCAATACTTTAAAAAGTTAAAAGAAATATAAGTAGAAAAGGAGCAGGGGAACACAATATTTGGGGAGGATGCAATAACAAAAAAAGAGGTGGAGTAGGAGAATAGTGAAGAAAAAAATGGGAAAATGCAAAAAAGATAAACAAGGAATGGGGAGAACCACAAGAAAAAATAAAATTGCACCCAGGAAAAGGCAAAAGAAAAAAAGCTGAAAACTAGAACCTTGGAAGAGAAGACAAAAGAATAATAATAAAAAAGAGTAAAATAATAATCATAATTTTTAAACAGACAAAAACTAACTATAAATAAATAAATAAGTCTGGGTGGGGTGGGGCAGGGCTCCCAGGCTCCATCAGAGAACACAGACTGGGATGGAATTCCTGCCGGCCCAGAAAGTTGGTGAGAGTGAAGGATGGCCTCACCTCCATTCACCAAGAGGGTATGGGGTATAAGAGTAACAAGGAAAGTATCACATCTCTCCAGTCCTCAGTGTCTGGAATGTCCTTGCTGTCCCCAGCAAGTGGAGGTTGTTCTTAGGTCCCTGGAATCTGAGAAAACACTGTTGCTTAAAATATCCAAAATGGTGGAACCACTTGTAAACATTCAAAATGGCTGCACCCTCTGGACAGTCAAGAGTCCACAAGTCAGTTTGTCTTCTTCTTCAGTGTTTCCCTTTTTATTCACCAGCCACCAGTGCAGGCCTCCAGGTAGCCCCTGGCTAGCAGGGCTCATTTTTAGGTTAATTCTTGGGTCCTAACACCTCTTGGCAGTATCCAAGCTGTCTATGCCATCAGGATCACTGACAGTCCACAACTCTAGATGTCTCCTTTTTCAGTATTTTCATGCAGGTTCTTCTACTAGTTGGAGTTTAGTCCACTTTTGTTATTTTCCTTTCAAAGCTCAGAGCTCCAGGATTATCTTCTGTATCTATGCAAACTGGGTCCCTTTTTCTTTGTTGAAGAGGGTCTGCACAGTCTGTCTGCCTATTCTGCCATCTTACCATACCTCTATATATACATTTTTATATCCTTTTGTATATTTTTATATCCTTATGTATATACATTTTTGTCTCCTTATGTATATATTTTGTATTTTTATGTCTATATTTTCCTGTGCTTCTATGTACACAAGCATCACTCCAGGATCATATAAAATGGCAATTCAGATTCAGTCTCTCTGTGGTGAAAATGCAAATTCTCAGCAGGGAGTCGAACCGGAATGAACTGGTTAGAAGCCTTGGAGTAAACAAAGACAGTCAGGAGAAGTAGTCTTTTTTTAAATAGAATTTGCCACAGTAAATATGATCATCTCAGCTATAATTTCTGCATATCATGTATGCCATACATCATAATAAATATGTAGGAGAAAAAGCAGGGTATTTTCAGGTTTTATTACTAATATTTGTGTGTGAAAATGTCTGGTTATAATCTCCTCCTTCTCCTCCCTAATCATCTTGTCTAGTAATTTCATTCTACTTTCTCAAATCAGGAATTATGTAATTATTATGCAAATCAGAGTTAATTAACCCTGACTTGTAAAATAGCTTTTCCTTAGCATGTGAAATGTAATAAGTAGCAATAAGATGGATGCCTGAACATCAGTCAGAAGAGAACTGTGGGAGTCAGAATTCACTTTTCAAAAGAAGCAGTGAAAAAGGGGGTAGCATCCCCTTCAACTGCCCTCGTAGCTTAATTTTATCTCCTTTGGGTGAAGGCATGCACAGAGCCTGAACAGAAGGGATAAGGGTGTCGATCTGCTCTGAGGCTCTAGGGAGAGATCCTATCAACAGAGATGGTGAACATCAAACAAAATGCCTGTCGGTTCCCTCCCAGCTGCAGCTCTGCACTCTGCCTCAGTCTTCCCAGAACATGTCTCCAAATGGAGCTCAGAATCCACAGTAGGCATGTGGACCTGCCCCTCCCTCCCTCCAAGTTTCAAGTGTTCAGTCCTTCCCTGTGGTGCGTCACCTACAACCCCCTTCCGTTGTCATCACTGTCCTATCAGTAAGGGTTTCTTTCAAATAGAGGGGGCCTAGATTTCACAGGCAGTCAGTAGATGCCAGGAGAACTGGGGATAAAGCCGACCACTCTCCACAGAATGGCATGCGGGTGACATTACCTTCTTCTTGGATGCTTCTGACTTCTTTGACATGTTCTTCAACTTTTTGTGCAAATGATTAAGGACCTGAAAGACACAGAAGGATAAAGGGAGGTTTGCTTCCCGCCTGCCGTGCACTGTCTGCTTGGTGTTCAGCATGACTGGCATTTGGAGGAGGTAATATTGTGTCTATCAAATCATAATATCATGTAATAGCATTATCTACAAAATACAGAAATAGTTTTTACAGAAATCACAGAACTTTCACAGAAAAGTTCACAGGATTAGGAATTGCCAGATACACCTGCTTTCCGACATTTGGGCGTAGGATGGAATGACCGGTGCCTGTCGGGTATGTGGCCATAGCACCTATTTGCAGAGAATGGCCTGAGTCTTCTCCAGAAAGCCCATCATCTCCCCCTGTGGCCAGATTTCCACCCTACATCAGACAAGGGGACCCTGTCACTATTGCTGTTAGGTGCCTTTCAGTCACTTCCAACTTGTAGTAACCCCACATGGCAGAGTTGACCTGCCCCATGGGGCTTCCTAGGTGGCCATTCTTTATGGAAGTGGATCAGTAGGTCTTTCTCCTACTGAGCCACCGGGTGGGTTCCAACCACCAACCTTTGGGTTGGCAGCCAAGTGACTAACCTTTGTGCCACTAGGGCTCTTGGAGAGACCCCAGATACATCAAAAATCAGATACCATTTCCTGCCTTCACAGAGTCACCATCCAAATGGGGAAAAAGCAACTAAGCAAATATAGACACTATAACCAGCGCTCTCTCCAAAGCAGTGAGGCTGTTATGCCAATGTTTGCTGGGATATGTTCCGTCTGCTTTCCCATTGTGGGTTGTCTCCACTTTGGATCCCCGTAATGCAACTCAGCACTTCCGGCCCCTTTCTGTCTTCCCCACATGCGTCTAGACCACGTCCATGTTGGGACTTCAGCACCCCAACCTGGAGACCAGCTAGCAGGGTTTGCAATTAGCATCCTGTCAGCAAGCCTCCTTGAAGATGTGCTGGCTTCTAATTAAAGAACCTATTTCTGTCTTCCCTCCCAATGTCACCCAGGAGAAAGACATGAAAGCCTTCGGTCTGCACAGGATTCCCATTGTCATCTTGGCCTTGCACACAAGAACTGTGCTGCAGAACAGTGCTTAATGCTGTGTTTATACCCTATCTGAGTGAAAATCCAGAGGAAATTTAGCTGTGGATGATGATGAACTGACCCAGGAGCCAGTCCCAGCTGGCCCTTTGTTTCCCTCTAGCAGAGGCAGAGGACCCGAGGAGCGAGGTAAGCACGGACATGCGTCATAACCTGCAGTGAACAGTTCCACATGTTTTCACCACATCAAAGATCCTGCTTCTAGGAATGGCTGCCATCTGTCTCTCTCCCAACCCCACAGCACCTTCCCACAGAATCAAAGCTCTACAAATTTACATCCCTGACAGGGACAGAGTGCCCAGTAAGCAAGGGAAGCATGGGCTTCCCTTGCTTGTTGGCAAATCCACCCAGCCCTCCAGCACCGTGGTATGGAGATCCTTTAATCACATTGGATTCAGTGCAGAGGCTGATGCCACTCCATCAACTCTGTGCACCACAGAGCAACCATCACCAGTTAACTAAGAGGCCACACAGGGCATCTGCCTCTCCTACAAGCCCACAGAGGCGAGGCAGCCACCATGTGTGGCTGACTCCACATCCCCTACCTGACTAGTATGCTTCTCTCTTCCTAAAACAACTCACATCGTCCACAACAAGGCACTGGGGATGCCTCTTGACACATTAACATCTGTTCACTTTCTGCTTTTTCCAGCAAAAATTGGGGTACTAAGGACTGAATGTGACGCAAGGATAGAAAGAAGTGATGTAGGAGCAAAAGAGAGTGTGAAGGAAAGGGTTGGAGTGGGACCCTGCTTAGAGATGACGGGCATGGAGACAGACTCCGGGGGCATCTTCCCAGGAGGAGACCACATGGGGACACCGGTCACTGAGAACAAGGGAGCAAGAAGGGAGAAGAGCAGACAGGCAGCAGGCCCAGATCAGAGGAAGACACCTGGGGGAAGAGGCAGCCCAGGAAATGCAAAGATCAACAACCTCGTAATTCCGCCCAAGTGTCTACTCATTCCTCCCCTGAATTAAAGTGGATCCCTACACAGAAACTTCAGAAAACCCAAGATATTGAATGTGGTTGAATGGTTAATGGAGAAAATACTCAAGGAACTTGCTCAGCTATGCCTCTCCTCTGGAGTCTGTACCCCAACCACATGTGGATATGGTGGGAGAGGCCTTGTCATCAGAGGAGAAAGAATGGAGGCATCATGACAAGTCACATTTCTCCAAAAGATAATGATGGCTATTGGTGGCATTTCTGTCCATCCATATGCTCCAGAGGAGAGTGTGCAGGAAGATACCTGTTCAAGCCTGAGCCCAGGTCACCCCAGCTTCAGCTCTCTCTGGGCACATGGAGACACGTGGTGAAGTGGACACATCAAGAGGTAACCATCCCGGCAGACCAAGGGGAGTCCATAATTCATCTTAAGGGAATGGGAGACACAGCTTTGTACAAGAGCAACTGCATGGCCTCAGAGGGGCGGGGCTTAGCAAAGCATTGGATCTGCCCACCAGGCATACTCCGTGGGTTCTAGGCATTTTCAGGGGTGGTCAGTTATTCCACCATTCTACTAAAAATGTGTAAGATTTGGGAAAACAGCAAGTCACTGCAGAATGCAATTCACATATGTTATGGATTGAATTATGTCCCTAAAAATATGGGTTGTAAATCCTAATGTCTATGCCTGTGGTTAGAATCCCATTTGGGAGTAGGTTGTCTTTGTCATGTTAATGAGAGGATTAGCATAATGTTAAATCAAACTCTGCTGAGATATAAAAGAGATTAAACAAGCCAGCTATAGAAGCTGCAGAGAAGGGGGGAGAGAGATGCTGAGGCATGTGGAGATCACACAGGAGCAGAAATTCTGGAGACAAGCACCTTCCTCCAGAGCACACAGCCAGCCTCCCCTGGAGCCGGCTCCCTGCATTCCAACTTGTGGCCTCATAAACTGTGAGAAAATATATTGGTTTCTTAAAGTCACCCACTTGTGCTATTTCTATTATAGCAGCACTTGGGCATCATGTGGAGTTTAAGAGTGAAACAAATACAACAAAAACCCACATTGTCATCTGGGGACCTCTCTGGCCAGCTGCAATTTTTCATCTTGGCTCTCAGACCTGGACTGTGAAGAAACCTCCATTCCTGAAGCCAACAGAGCTGGACCACAGGAAAACCACCAGCCCTCAACCTAAGAGACCTGGACCACAAGAAACCTCCAGTCCTGACCCCAACAATACTCAAGTGGCAAAATCCTTAACTGGGAAGCACACACTTAAGGATTCAACCAAAGAAAAGCAACTTAAAGTGACATATCTCCACTTAGTCAGACCTGGAGAGAATTTCCAAATATTGTCTTGAATTCCAAAGATCTTTCCTGTTGTGCTTAGAATCGGACTATGTCCGTAGAAAACATCTCAGTGATCATATAATCACCACATTTCTGAGAAGCATTTTTAAACTTAGCCCTGTGTATATAAACCCTCAAATGAGCGAACGTAGCCTGTAGTCCTCTGAGTTTACCTTCTTGTCTCCACTGAGAAGATTGAGTGTTATTTTTCCAAAAAGATTATGTTCTAGTGCTAACCCAGGCAACCAGGAATTTCAGAGGAATTTCTCTCTAGTCTTCAACTTGCAGCAGTGAACCCCTGAATGGTTTTCAGGCCCTCATGCCCCCCGGCACCCCTCCCTCCATTTAGAGGACGTATGCAATCTGGAGTTAGTCACTTAACACCTCCAAGCTCAGGTCTCTTATCAATGAAACAGCCCCAGGTCGCTGTGCACATGAGTGAGGCTATGAACAGGTCAGGTAGAACAGCCTGCCTTTGGCATTTGCAACACATGAAATAGGCAGAAAGGAGCCCGGGTGGCCCAGTGGTGACACCCTCGGATGCTAGTCTAAAGTTGGAGATTCAAACCCATCTGGAGGAGAAAGACCCAGTGATCTGCTCCCATAAACACTGAATGGACAGAAAGGAGCCCCCGTGACACAGTGGTGGCTGCTAACCAAAATATTGGTGGTTCAAACCCATCCTGGGGAGAAAGATCCAGCATTCCGCTTCCAAACCAAAAGCAAGCTCAGTGCCGTCGAGTCAGTCCCGACTCATCGCGACCCCTCCTTGGGTTTCCAAGGTGGTATCTCTACTGAAATAGATTGCCCAATCTTTCTTCCAAGAAGTGGCTGGTGGCTATGAACTGCCAGGCTTCTGGTTAGCAGTCAAATGCCTTAGGCACTACGCCACCAGAGCTCCCCCATCTGCTTCCATGAAGACTAAAAACCAAAAAATAGAAATAAAATAAAAAGACCAATTTCACTACCATCAAGTCGATTCCAACTCCTGGAGTCCCCCATTGGGTTTCCAAAGGTGTACATCTTTACAGAACAGACTGCCTCATCTTTCGTCCACAGAGTGGCTGGTGGGTTTGAACTGCTGGCTTTTTGGTTAGTATTCTAATGCCTTAGCCAGGGCACCACCAGAACTCAGCCTAGAAAACCCTACAGGGCAGTTCTACTCTGTAGACACCTGGAGTCACGATGAGTCGGAACTGGCGTGACAGCCCCTAACCACAAAGCAAATAGACCAGCCATTTTCCAGGTAACTGTGCCAGAGTTCTTTCCCGACGTCCTCTCCACGCCCCTCTGCACATACAGCCCACTGCACAGTCAGTCATTCAGATTAGAGGCCAGACAGCCGCACTGGGAACACAGACAGGCCTCCACAGTGATGCCACAGCGGACGGTTTGTGTCCACATCCCGCTGGAGAACCGAGAAGGGCTGGTGCTGCTCCCTCGTCCTCTGTCTGTTCAAGGTTCTACAGTCCTTGCACTGCCAGAAATAAGACGAGAGACCGAGAGACGACATTGCATTGGTAGAAAGTTTGATGCTTCTCTGAGGAAACTACTACTCTGAAGAAAAGCCCTGGGGGGTGTTGGAGTGCACCCCATAAATTGCCATCCTGCTGTGTACATAGGAAACCTTCTAAATCTTGTGTTATTCATGAACCAGAAGGTGAATTGAGGGAGCTGGCCAGGCTGTGAAAAAGGGGGACTAGAGCAGTCCCCCCAGTGAGAAGAAGGGGCTGGAAACAGGCATGACTCCAGAGTGCTTCTCTCAAGCAGAGTGGGGAAATGCCTCAGGCAGTTGACTGCTAACCAGAAGGTTGATGGTTCAAACCCACCAGCCACAGAAGGAAGAAGGGGCAATCTACTTCCATAGAGATTTACTGCCTTGGAGACCCAGTGGAGGTCACTATGAGTCGGAATCGACTGGGCGGCAGTGAGCTTGTTGGGTGGTTGGTTCTGAATAATGCCGGGGCTCCCACAGCCTTGGCTGAAATGACTCAAATGGGAGCTTTCCCTTCCTTCCTTCCAACCTTCTAGGAGCACTCCAGCCAAGACTCCTTGGGCTTTAAGTTCAACTTCTGTGTACAAGACACGGGGCCACTCTGCCTCCGCGAGCAGTGGCATCCCAGAGCCAGATCCCGCCCCTGCCAGCCTCGCCGGCGAGTGTAAACCCTGCGCGCCCGCAGGGACAGCACGGGCAGCCCCTCCACCCTGCCACCGCGCACACGCCCCGCAATCCCTCCATCCCTGGTTTCGTGGCGCGGGCGGGAGACCAGGGGCTGAGAGCTGGACAGCAGAGCCGGCTGTCCAGCAGGTGGGGGTGCCGGGCACCCTCTCCGGCCAAGGCTGCAGGACGCAGGGACCGGGTGGGGAGGAGAGTTGCCGGGGACGTGTGGGGAGCGGAGGGCACACCCGCCCCAGCATTTCGCAAACTCTCAAACTCCAGGTAACTCAGCTGGGCAACCGCCGGCGGCAGCCCAAGTCAAGGCCAGGGCACAGCTGGGTGGAAAAGGGCCGCCCCGCACACAGAGGGGCCCGGGGAAGACCAGGCCCGCGCCCCCTGCCCGCGCCCCCTGCCCACCTTGGCGTAGCAGAAGCAGATGAGCAGCAAGGGCAGCAGGTACCCGAAGACAAAGGTGCACACCACGTAGGCCTTCTTGTGGCGCGGGTCGGGCCACTGCTCCCAGCAGAAGGTCTCGTTGCCGGCGCCGCGGTGGAAGAGGCGCTGGTGGTAGGCCACCGGCGAGGCCATGGCGATGGACAGCGCCCAAATGACGGCGACGCCCAGC